GCATATACATTGGTTAAATAATACATAACATTTGTATCTTTATGGCATACCTGAAAAGTTACCTGTTGTTGGGAGTTATCTTGGACCTTTACCTCAAAGTCATTGGACCAAAATGTCCAAATTTTATGATTGGAGTTGGAATGACAGCCTTCCATCCCAAGTTGTCTCATATAAGTCATGATTTGATCACTTCTCACAAATGGTTCTTGTAAGCAGATGAAAGATAAGTTGTATTGAGCTTTGATAGTTTTAAGCCTTTCGAAGGTACATTGAGTGTTGACACTCCTTATGTTCCATGACAGAGCTTTAATCATTGGAAACATTAAGGTTTGTACCTTTGCATATCCCTTTGTTAGAGTCATCTCTTTCCCTAGGAATCCAGTCTGTAACAAGTACATCAGTTCCTCTTGGTGAGAGGTTGTTTGTCATACAAATATCTTGTTTTAGCGTTGTTCCTTTAGCATCAAGGTTATCTTTGTTATCTTGGACAGAGGACATGTTGTTCATTTCTCCATCTGAGACAGACAGATCTCGAGAAAGTTCTTTATCCTCTTATTCTGGTTCAGTCTCATAATGGTTGTATTCATCATGGCATTTTTTTTTCCCTCCGAGGAATGGGATTGTTCACTTCAGTGTCCATGCTATCCTCTATGTGCAGGGTATGCTCATTGTTATGGGTAGGCACTCGCTTAACTTATTCCGTAGTGTTAGGAGAATCACTAAACCTCAGCAGATTATTGTCCACGTTTATGACCCCTAAAACAGTTCCATAGAAAATGTTTGACGGGCCATGTATACCAGGATCTAGTGTATCTTTTCTTTCAATATAGAGGGAGACATTAAACATCTGGCCTTTTGAACGGATCGATCGCCTTGTTGATCATAGAGGTTTTCTTTTATCTCTTGGTCAAGGGTTGCCATGAGGGGTCATTGATTTCCTCCTCAACGCCTATCGATTTCTTGCTGCCCGGGAACTTCGTTTCTTGATTAATATTTTTAGCCTTAATGGACATATTCCCTGAAGTTTCAACCTTCTCTATAGGCTTGTTCACGCTGCTTTGCGTAACTGGATTATCAAGCATCTTTGTATTTTGAATACCCTGCACGGCTACCTATAATTGTTGCTTTTTCCCATCAAGTTTTTCTTTATTTTATCCTTTTCCTCTAGTCACTGTGGTCCACCCTCTTCCTCTTGGCACTTCTCTGGCTCCATATTAGTATCAATATCAGTTTGTAACTTTGTTCCTTGATTTCTTATGGTATCCACTTGCATTCCATTATCCTTGGTATGTTCCTGTATTTTGTCAGAAGCTATCGAAGCACTTGTACTAGTTGTTCCTTCTTTTCCTTCATTAGCATATTCATTTCTTAACTCCGGGTAAAGGACCCTGCAATTAGCATCACTATGACCTTGAACTTTGCATTTAAAGCAAAATTCTGGAATAGCTTCAAACTCTAGCTTTTGCACAAGACACTCGTTCATGCCTTTCGAGTTCGTAATTTCTATCTGAACTTCCTTTAAGGGTGGTCTTGTAACATCGATTTCGACCTTGACTTTCGTAGTAGTGGGTCTCGTCTTAGATAAAGTGGCCTTGTCCGTGATGATCTGAGTGCCAATAGGAGCTAAAATACGACATAAAGCATCCCACTCAAAATAATGCCAAGGCAAGTCCGGCAGATTCACCCACACTGGCGCAAGAGTGGTCTCCTTCTCGAGTTTGAAATCTGTTGTCCATTTGAGAAGTTTCATTTGCATTCCACAGATTGACAGAAAATTCCTATGGTAGACATTTCTATGGTCTTCTTCCTGTTCAAAATCAATGAAAACATGGTGCATATCGTAGACCCCAATTTTCACTCCCCTCCTTAAGGTCAACCACTCTATTAAACTCCAATTGAATTTTATCTATTGAAGGTCTGATTCTCGAGAATTTTCCCACTATCGTAAGACGACACGATTCAGCTAGCAGATCGTTTTCATCTTTGGTGAAAGTGACAGTAGCCTTACCTTCAGATAAATTGTAAGATCTGTGTGGTAGATTAACTTTCTTCCTCCTCATCCTGTTTGTATGATAGCTCGAATCCTCAGCAAAACATCGCCCTTCATTAGTGTTATCCCTCTGGTCGGAAATCGATCCTTTAGTAAACTGTTGAATACTCCATTTGCCTTTCTAGAGAGTCAAGAGTTAGGGCTTTTTGTCCAACCCTTTGTGAAGGGAGGGGAGGAAACCTTTGCGCAAGAGAAGGGGGTTGGTCTACGGGGAAAAGAGGTGGTCGGACCGGCGGAGCCATCCGACTCACCGTAGACATTAGGTCCAAGTGACCGTTAGAGAAACAAAGGAGGAAAAACGATAATATTGGTAGAGAGCGAAAGCTTGTTACGAAAAAGTTGTTCGTATATATCCACTTATAAACAAACGCTCAATGTATTCTTTTCTTTTAACAGAAATGGAAAAAAAAAAATTCTAATCTAATTTTTTATTTTTTTCTATAAAATATAATTTCATATAAGTAAATTTTATCATCGTCAAACATATTTTTTTTGTTTCAGTAACTAACTTTAAATTATTATTTTGATAATCAAATTTATTTATTTTTCACTAATATTTTTGTAAAATTTATTGTAAATGATCAAAAAAATTTCTTTGAATACAAAAATCAAATTAGAATATAGACAAAAAAAAAAGTTTAAATTTGTTCTTCTTTTAACTTGTAATTACAATAATTGTAGACTGATTCGTGACATATAGAGCCTGTTTGGCTCAGCTTAAAAGCTGGTCAAACTGACTTAAAAGCTGGTTTTTGATTTATTTAAGTGTTTGGCAATACTCAAAATAGCTTATTTTAAGTTTAAAAAAACTTATTTTAAGCCAAAAGTTAAAAGCTGGGGTGAGGGTGCTTTTTTTTTTTAGTTTATAAGTTGTTTTAAGTTGACCACATTTTTATGTTTTTTCCCTTAATATTTTTATACAATCTCCAAATTACCCATATAACTCTAACATCTTTCTTCTATGTTTCCCTTTTCACGTTTGGCATAACAACTTCAGCACTTTTATCCAAACGTATAACTGCTTATTTTAAAAATAAGTTTCAACACTTTCAAAAGTACTTTTTTAAAGCTACTTTTATTAAGCCCATCCAAATGTGTCATACTTTATTGCTCTTTTGTTCTTTCGTCTTGTAATTTACATTAGTTGTACACTGATTCCCGAGTCACAACATATACTTTTTGTAATTTTTTCGTCTTGCAATTTACACTAACTGTAGACATTTTCTTTAATTTGTTATTTTTTAATATATAAATCAACTATTTCATGTTTTATCCTTAAAATCAACTATTTAGTCTTCAAATTACTTTTTCAACATCTTAAACTAAATATAATTAATATGAGCAGGGTAGTTCATGATTATGGTTATGGTTCAAAAATTAAATTGAACAGCAGATCGGACCACATCAATTTTTTTAAAAAAATTGATATTTGGTTAGGTTTGGTTTTAAATTTTGAAAAGTCGATATTATTTAGTTTGGTTTTGATTTAAAAAAAATTAACTGCAAAAATAAACAAATCGAACAGAGAAGTTATATACATTTATAAATAAAATATAAGTACTTTGATATATTTTAATTAACTTAAGTCTTTAATTTTACTCTTTTCTAAAGTCTAACACTTAAATTTTAGTTCGTCTGTTAAAACCTTAAATCAAAATTCCTCAATATTCATTACTTTAAAGATTACACTTTCTCTATCCTTTTCTAAAAAAAATTAGTGCAATATTGGATAATTTAAAGTTCAAGCTAAAGAAGATGGTAATTGATTAGTTTTGACTATGACATTTTATTTTAGAAGTAATTTCTCAATATATAAGGTGTAATTTTTTTAAAAGTTTATTGATAAGATTTTGAGATCTCCAAAATATTGAACCAACTTCATGCTATTATTGACAATGAGTTCTTTCCGTTTTTAAAACTTGAAACGTTGGATGAATCACTTTGTTTATGTAATAGCTTATTTGTGATTATTTATATACTAAGTGTTTGTTTCCATCGAGATGTCTACGTCCTCAACAAACTTAATACCTTTAAACGGAATAAACTAACCAAACTGATCATAACCAAATCGAGGTTATTTTTTTTATTTGATATTAAGAATAAAAAAAAATCAATTTAAATTGGTTTTTATTTTAATTTTCACTAATAATCGATCTAAATCGAACTATGAACATCTTTAGAAATGAATATTATTTAAACTGTCAAATTTAAAATGAACAAATAAAAGTGAGTATGCTTTATGCATAAAACTAAACAAGTAGAATTATCGAATGAAAATGCATTGAAGGATTTGGATTTAACTGTAAGCATATGTACACAGTGTTATTCAGAAGGGCTTGTCAAACCTACATACCCAACACCACAACATCAAGGTTGGAAGGTGAGTAAAGGAAGCAATATTCATGGGCTAACACAATCGACAATCATAGCGACAGAAGCTTCAGAGTAATTCATCGACTTATTGAATTTACTTAATAAAGAAACACATTTTTCATACTTTTCACGAACCAATTCACTGCTTCCTTTTCTTGTATCAACAATGGCTTCATTCTTATCTGTCTTGTTTCGATTTTGAACCTCATTTGTCCACATATCTACTAACCCAGACATTCTTCTTCTTCTTCTTTTATATGTTTGAATAGTCAGGTTGTTGTGATTTGAAGTATGCAAATCTCTATTTATTTATATATGATTGCAATAATAAGATAATGATAACAAATATGTTATTTTGCAGTGCGCCCACATATTTAATTTCCATGTGCGGCCGTTATGATGGATTTACGAATACAAGTATCTGTGTGCTTTTAGATTTAAAGAATTTGGATAGACATATCTGTGGGTCATGCTGGGAATTGGGGAAACCATGTGCTGCTTTTTAATTTGATAATCTCGGATTCTATTTTTTATTTTACTTTTTAAAGAAAAAAAGTCTGAATATCCTTTAATTTTATTTTATTGTTATAAATCCATTGAATTGTGTGGATTGTCCTTTAGATTTACTCAAGACTTAATTGTATTCATGTATACATGTTCCCAAGGTGATAAGAATCATTTGGATAACTATGTACCTACTAATTGGACATTTATCATGGGGGCTTTTGGGGTGATATCTCAACTCTATAAATAGAGATATCATTCACCTTTTGTAATACATACTTGAATAAGAAAATTATCTCCTCTATCTTATACTTCTTGTCTTTTTCTTCTTATATTCTGAGCTTTCTTTACAATATGTTATCAGCACGAAGTTGCTACTTGCAAAGGTATTATATAAATATTTTTATTTGATTCACATATTCTCTCATAATTTCATTATGTCGAATTTATCCAAACTTGAGTTTGTGGCATTAGATATTTCTGGAAAGAATTATCTTTCATGGGTACTCGATGCTGAGATTCACTTGGCTGCTAAAGGTCTTGATGCCACTATTACTCAGGGAAATGAAGCATCGAGTCAAGATAAGGCGAAAGCTATGATTTTCCTTCGTCATCATCTTGATGAGGGCCTGAAAATTGAATATCTGACGGTAAAAGATCCACTTGAGTTGTGGACTGACTTAAAGGGGAGATATGACCACCTAAAGGCAACAGTGTTGCCAAGAGCCCGTTATGAGTGGATGCATTTACGGTTTCAAGATTTTAAGACCGTAATTGAATACAACTCTGTTGTATTCAGGATAACCTCCCAGTTAAAATTATGTGGGGAGACTATAAAAGATGAGGACATGTTGGAAAAGACACTTACTACTTTCCATGCCTCAAATGTGATATTGCAGCAACAATATCGTGAAAAGGGTTTTCAGAAATATTCTGAACTAATCTCATGTCTGTTGGTGGCTGAGCAACATAATGCTCTTTTAATGAAAAATCATGAAGCTTGTCCCACTGGAGCTGCTCCATTACCGGAGGCAAATGTGGTGGAAGCACGTGATCAACCTAAAGTAAAAAGAGATGATCATCGGGGATATAATAATGCACGGGGACGTGGCAAAGATAAAAGACGATACACTAATCGTCAAGGTGGTGGTCATAATAAAAGGGAGAACAACATGAGTTCTCAAAATAACCCCTCAAAAAGTAATTGTCGTCGTTGTGGCATGAAAGGCCATTGGAAGAATGAATGTCGCACACATGAACATTTTGTAAGGCTCTATCAAAATTCCTTTAAAAAGAAAGGAAATAAAAGTGGTGCTTCCTCTTCCAATGCTCGAGCTGAGTCATATATGACTCTTAAAGATGATGATAAGCCGGGAACATCTCAAAAATATGATAAGGATATTGAAGCAAATTTGGCTTTAAAGGATGATGTTTTTGATGGCCTTGGTGACATTACTCATATGGAAGTTGATGACTTCTTTGGAGATCGAAACTGATTTTGATCTTTTAGCTGGGGAATGAAGTCTGTTAATATTTTACTTATGTATTTTTAATTATCATGTTATTTATGTTGAAGTATTTAAATTTCCGTTGTTAATTTTGTTTCTTCCTTCTTTTGATGTATTTTATTTTAATGAAAATTAATAGAAATCCCCAGTTGTCAGTTGGATTCAAGATGAGTAATGGAGATGTATGCCTTCTTGATAGTGCTACAACGCATACAATATTAAAAGAAAAGAAATACTTTTCTAATTTGGTTATGAAAATGGCATATGTCAACACAATATCAGGTAGTACAAAATTAATTGAGGGCTCTGGAAGAGCGACCTTATTACTACCTGGAGGGACAATATTAAGCATTGATAATGCATTATATTGTAGTAAGTCTCAAAGAAACTTATTAAGTTTCAAAGTTATTCGCCAAAATGGCTATCATGTTGAGACGGCTAATGAAGGAAAGGTTGAATGCCTTTACATTACTACAATTAATGTTGAGAAGAAAATTGTGCATGAAAAATTACCTGCATTTTCTTCTGGGTTGTACTATACAAGTATAAGTACAGTTGAATCACATGCCGTAGTAAACAAAAGGTTTACTAATTTTAATGATTTTATCATTTGGCATGACCGGTTGGGCCATCCTGGATTTAATATGATGCGCAAAATCATTGAGAATTCACATGGACACACCTTAAAGAGCCCAAATATCCTTCAATCAAAGGAATTCTCTTGTGCTGCTTGTTCTCAAGGAAAGTTGATCATTAAACCATCAACAGTTAAGGTTGGAATTGAATCCCCTGCGTTTCTGGAACGTATACAGGGTGATATATGTGGACCAATTCAACCTGCATGTGGACCCTTTAAATATTATATGGTCTTGATAGATGCTTCTACAAGATGGTCACATGTGTGTTTATTATCAACTCGCAACATGGCTTTTGTGAGATTGCTGGGTCAAATAATAAGATTGAAAGCACAATTTTCAGACTATACAATAAAGACAATCCGTCTAGATAATGCTGGTGAGTTTACATCTCAGGCATTTAATGATTATTGTATGTCTACTGGTATAACTGTTGAACATCCAGTTGCGCATGTTCACACTCAAAACGGTCTAGCAGAATCATTGATTAAACGTCTGCAATTGATAGCTAGACCATTACTAATGAGAACAAAGTTATCTGTGTCTATGTGGGGGCATGCTATTTTGCATGCAGCAACACTTGTGCGCATAAGGCCAACCAATTATCATGAATTCTCCCCATTACAATTGACTTTTGGTCAAGAGCCAAACATTTCCCATCTTAGAGTTTTTGGATGTGCGGTGTATGTCCCAATTGCTCCACCACAACGCACAAATATGGAGCCGCAAAGAAGGTTGGGGATATATGTTGGGTATGAATCTCCTTCAATCATAAAATATTTGGAGCCTATGACTGGAGATTTATTTAAGGCAAGATTTGCTGATTGTCATTTTGATGAATCAGTATACCCAACATTAGGGGGAGAACATAAGTCATTGGGAAAAGAGATAGATTGGAATTCATCATCTCTATCTCATCTGGATCCTCGAACAAACCAATGTGAGCAAGAAGTTCAAAGAATAATTTATTTGCAGAACATTGCAAATCAGCTACCAGATGCATTTACGAATCTTCCAAGGATTACTAAGTCGCATATTCCAGCTGTTAATGCTCCAGTTCGAGTTGATATCCCGACGGGACAAATTGTTAAGGCAAATGAGTCTAGACCACATTTGAAGCGTGGTAGACCAATTGGTTCCAAGGATAAAAATCCTCGAAAGAGAAAAGGAATAAATGATCAAGATGATCATGGGTTGAAAGAAATTTCTCAAGATGAGACCCAAGTCATAACACATGATGATGAGGAGGTTCGAACTTCTGAAAATAATGAAATTTCAATGAATTATGTCTCGACGAGAAAGTTGTGGAACCGAAATAATGTTGTGATTGACAACATATTTGCCTATAATGTTGCTATTGAAATAATGCAACAAGATGAAGATTTTGAGCCAAAATCTGTTCACGAATGTAGACAGAGAAATGATTGGCCAAAATGGAAGGATGCAATTCAAGCTGAATTGGCTTCACTAGAAAAATGTGAAGTTTTTGGACCAATAATCCGAACACCTGAAGATATCAAGCCAGTGGGGTACAAATGGGTTTTTGTACGAAAAAGAAATGAGAAAGGTGAAGTCATGAGATATAAGGCCCGACTCGTTGCTCAAGGTTTTTCTCAAAGACCTGGCATTGATTTTATGGAGACATATTCTCCAATGGTAGATGCAATCACCTTTAGATATCTCATAAATCTGGCAGTTCATGAAAAACTTGAAATGCGTCTAATGGACGTTGTCACAGCCTATCTATATGGCTCATTGGACCACAACATTTTCATGAAAATTCCTGAAGCATTTAAAGTGCCTGAAACATACAAAGATTCAAGAGAAACTTGTTCAATAAAGCTTCAGAAATCTCTGTATGGACTGAAACAATCAGGAAGGATGTGGTACAATCGTCTGAGTGAATATTTGTTAAAGAAAGGGTACAAAAATGACCCGATTTGTCCCTGCATTTTCATTAAACGGTTGGGGTCTGAATTTGTAATAATAGTTGTGTATGTTGATGATTTGAACATCATTGGAACTCGTAAAGAGCTTTTAGAAGCTGTTGAGTGTCTGAAAAGAGAATTTGAAATGAAAGATCTCGGCAAGACAAAATTTTGTCTTGGTCTACAGATTGAGAATTTGTCAAATGGAATACTTGTTCATCAATCAACGTACACAGAAAAGATACTAAAGCGTTTTTACATGGATAACTCACATCCATTGAGTACTCCAATGGTGGTAAGATCTCTTGACATCAATACAGATCCATTTCGACCTCAAGAGAATGATGAAGAGCTTCTTGGTGATGAAACTCCTTATCTTAGTGCGATCGGGGCACTAATGTACCTTGCTAACAATACTCGACCAGATATCTGTTTTGCAGTAAGTCTACTGGCAAGATTCAGTTCCTCCCCAACAAAAAGACATTGGAATGGTGTTAAACACATACTTCGATATCTTCGAGGGACCATGGACATGGGTTTATTCTATTCCAATGAATCCAAATCAGAACTGATTGGTTACGCAGATGCAGGGTATTTATCAGATTCGCATAAAGCTCGATCACAAACAGGCTATTTGTTTACATGTGGAGACACGGCAATATCTTGGCGATCAATGAAGCAAACATTGGTAGTCACTTCTTCAAATCATGCAGAAATAATAGCCATCCATGAAGCAAGTCGAGAGTGCGTCTGGTTGAGATCAATGACCCATCATATTCAGAAAATGTGTGGTTTTTCTTTGAAAAAGAATATACCAACCACAATGTACGAAGATAATGCAGCATGTATAGCTCAATTGAAAGGAGGATACATCAAAGGAGACCGGACAAAGCATATCTCACCAAAGTTCTTTTTCACGCATGATCTTCAACAAAATGGTGAGATAGAAGTTCAACAAATTCGTTCAAGTGATAATCTTGCTGATTTATTCACTAAGGCATTGCCAACATCAACATTTGAGAAGTTGAGATACAAGATTGGAATGCGCCGTCTCCGAGATATCAAGTAAAGTTTTCATCAGGGGGAGCGAAATACGCGTTGTACTCTTTTCCTTAACTATGGTTTTGTCCCAAGTTGGGTTTTCCTGGTAAGGTTTTTAATGGGGCAACATTCAAAGCGTATTATGAGATATGTGTACCCTTTTTCCTTCACTAGGCTTTTTCCCACTGGGTTTTTCCTAGTAAGGTTTTAACGAGGCACATAATCTATGGACATCCAAGGGGGAGTGTTATAAATCCATTGAATTGTGTGGATTGTCCTTTAGATTTACTCAAGACTTAATTGTATTCATGTATACATGTTCCCAAGGTGATAAGAATCATTTGGATAACTATGTACCTACTAATTGGACATTTATCATGGGGGCTTTTGGGGTGATATCTCAACTCTATAAATAGAGATATCATTCACCTTTTGTAATACATACTTGAATAAGAAAATTATCTCCTCTATGTTATACTTCTTGTCTTTTTCTTCTTATATTCTGAGCTTTCTTTACAACATTTATTTCTTTATTGTTAAAATAAAATTATTTTTATATTTACATCATTTATATCGGTATGTTAACGAAAATCCTCAAATCCACTTAAATTAACTTGAATCTTAAATAATGACCCGTTTCTCCATTTTAAACTCATGTCCAACCCACCCCTCTAACATATTGTCTTCTCCTCCCTTCAACTCTCTGTGCAGCCTTAACATTGTCAATGGGTGCAGCCTTAATTTTGAAATATATATTCAATCATGCCTTAATTCTAGGTTATAAATCTTGGCTTGGCCAGATGTTATATATTTAACATTTTTGGACTTCACGAACACCCTTTGACAGAGTTATGTGGGAATTTGAATGGATTGTGCACCTATTTTGATGGTTGTTGATTCACAAGGTTATATCGTTTCTGGTTCCATTATTATTTTCTTTCTCTGATGTTAGTTATTGGTTCTTTTTGCCTGAGGTCGGGTCACAGTACATGAAAATGAGATTCATGCTACTTTGAACATTTTTGTTAAAGAAATGCAAGGTTAATCAAACTAAAACTAAAAGATTAAAGAAACGCCTTCCTTCTCCTGGATCTTAGCCTTAAAAGTCTTCTCCATCAAGTTCTTCACAAAGATCTGCATTCTGAAGGTGAAGGGTTCCACTGCACAGAGAATTCAAACAAGAAGAAGATTATAGGGAAGACAATGAGAAGAAATGGATGAGTAATTGTTTCATCAAAAACTTTGGTTCAATAAAAAAAATTGAACATAAATTGAAGTGTACTAGTATTTAATATAATTCTCTCACGTAGTATAAATAATGTCCTCACATTGAACTTGCATTTATTGATCATGTGATCAAAACGACGAACCAACATTATTACTTTGTGCCATTTGTTGGTCAATATTATCCACAATTATATTTCCATGCTCATAGACCATAAATATTTCATCAATGCTTTGGTATTCTCACAAATAATTATGTAAGTTGCACAAGTTATGACAATTTTCACTTGTTTATCAATGTCGTAATGATTCATGTTTTGCTTCAATATTCTAAAAATTTATTTTTTCAAGATCCAAAAATCCGTTCAATCACATTGTGCAAAGGTGAATACCTATAATTAAATAGTTCTTTGGCATTTTGAGGCTCTCTTTCACTTTCTCCGTAATCTTGCAAATGATTGTGTATGGAGCTAAAAAACCTTTTGTGTTTCGAAAACTAGCATCAACAACATAATGTTTATCTAACAACAAACAATTTACAAAAAATTACTAGAAGCATATACGACGTAAATAATTTGCGTAAATAAATAATATTTGTTTTAAGGATGTAATTTAAAGCTTTCATTTGACGAAAATGAAAAATTGTGACGTCGATTCAACAAGTGTATTACTAATTACTTTACTGCCATGTACAGTACCTTCCCAACCGGCAGTAAAAAAGGTAAATCATATATCAAAATCACAAGCACAAAGATATTTTGTGAGGTTCATGCTTTGCGATTATGATATGCTTCTTGCACCACTTTAGGAACCTCCCCTTATATATATGTTTCATCAATCACATCAATACAATCCTACCAAATAAAAAATACAACGTAAAATAAATTGAAAGCATTCTAAATGCACTTCATGAAAAAAATGTTTGTAAGAGTAATAAAATAATGCTTCCAACATAATGCAAAGTCATAAAATAAATATTTTCTTTTTGAACAAAGTCGATAGTGAGTATGTACTCAATACTAATAACTTACACATAAAATATACCAAATATGCACTTATTAAGGCCATAAATCAATTTATATTTTACTTTAAATCAAAGTCAAAATCGAGTATTATTTCGAATTTGGGAATGTACACCTGCCATACTTTTTGGTTGTATAAATATTGGTGCCTTGCTAATTGTCTCGGCAACTATTTTATATCGGTGAGAA